AGCCTGCCTCGCCGACTCTCACTTCGGTTGATCCTTCTTCAGAACTCGGCGTCGACCCCTCAGGACTGGACGTTGTCGCTTCTTCTTCCGGATCTGGCCTCACCTCGGCCTGGTAGCTTGGGGTCACGGTTTCTTTGTGGGTTTTAGCCGTTTTGGCCATGAGTGAAAGACGAGATAAGAAAGAAAAGGGATACTTACTATTGTCTACGGAACTGGACGAAGTTGATGACTTCGGCTGTGACTTCGGCTGGCAGGATTGATCTCGGCAACAGACGTAAATTTGGCAAGACCCAGGCAGAGGAAGAAAATGATGGGCCATGCGGTGAAAAGAACCCCCTATTTATAGGGGAGGGCCAGAACCCGAAGAGGCAGCCAGAATACGGAAAGGCGGCAACTCTTCGAATTCAAGATACTGAGTACCTGCCCTTCTGTCTCTCTCTCTTCATTAATGCCCCGTCCTTTCGGCTGACACCCACTGCACGAAACGTCCCACTACTTCACGACGCAACGGTTACCAGTGACCACGTCCTATCAACTGACTCGCCCACGTGTCGCGTCCCCGCATCTTCCGGAGCGGTTTCGGGACCTCGACTCTTCATGACTTCAGCACAAGGAAGCCTCGGCACCTCCCTTGCTCGGAGCATCCGAGGCTTGGGGGGCTTATTGAGGATGCTCACCTCGGCCATCTTGAGTGGCCGAGCTGAACTCACCTCGTCCCTCATCAGAGCTCATCCGTGTCCCGGGCATCATCCCTGAGCTCGGCCTCGGCCGTTTCCCTAGCCTACTGTGTAGCCGACCTCGGCACCCCCATCTCGGCTGCACGCTGATGAGGTCAACCCATCTGACATCATCCAGAACCAGTACTTTATCTGAAAAGCACTGGGAGCACTTGATGGCACTTGCACCATGTCCTCCGTCATCACTCCCAGGCGGCTACAGTGTCAGAGTCAGACTCCCTGACAGGAGACAGAGCCGTAATGTCAGAGTGGGTCCCACTAACATGAGTCCAGAGCCTCGCCTCTACTCTCCTATAAATACCTCACTCACACTCCCACCAAGTAAGCGTACACACTGTTCATTAACTCATTCTCATTATTCTCGTTCTCATACTAACTTGATCGTCGGAGTGATACCAGGGGAGAAGCCCCGCCACTCACTTCGGACAAGGAGGTTCACTTCGGACCCAGGAGTTCACCTCACTTCATCTCAGAGAGGACTGATCCAGGTCGGTCTAGTTACCAACCAAAAATCACCTCCTCACAACGCATTGCCAGACAATCGCATGCCGCACTTGATCTTGATGACATTGCAGATCGGTTTCATCCACATTTGTTGACCATTGTCGATGAGACATATGGATCAATGCAATACTTCCAACTTGATCGCATGATAATTGATGATTCTGACTTCTTCAATCATAATCCTCTCACGTCGCAAAATATTCCACTCCAGAATCCAGTGTGACATGTTCCTACACAAGATGAACCATCATCTAGCAGAAGTCGACATAGTAGGCATGGCTTGCAAGATGAAGTCATCGGCAAAACGAGTTCAAAGCACAGAGATGGGCACTCAATCTCGACACAGCCCGACTAGTAATTAATTCACCATATTCGTGTCTTTGACAATGGCAGATTCCCATGCTATGCCACCTATACAATTATTGGCCTTCGGCTCTCAGGTCACGATATTCTCGCACTTATCGCATATTAGTTTAGATGCCACGTCTTCACCACAGTTTTCACCTTTTGATACACATCCCACGCCCTTCACATTTTCTTGTATTTGGTGGATGATTTCCATCCTCATCACATGTCCCTCTATTTGGATATGCTGCCACTGCATTGGCCTCATCTTCTGCTCCTGAATTGCATCCAATATTTAGTTTTCTTAGCGAAACGGATGGTACGTCTCCTATTCTAGATCTTCTCAATTATTACAGTCTCCGGTAATCTACAGTCGTACATAGGTCGATCTAGCCTATATCTATTATTGGATACGGTTAGTTAAGAGATTTTATCACGTATCATTCTCAAAATGATTATGATAGCAGTACGACCGCAGAGTCGGTCAATGAGGAGGACATAGGACTCGATGCTTTTCCCATAGATCTTGCGTCTCCAATCAATGCACCACAGGAGCCTATATTTTTACGTGAACGCTACAGACGATAGCCTAAAAGATTTTGTTGTCCGTCCACAACACTAAGTGATAAAGGCGAGGGCAAAAGGTGCACTGGGAGTTAATATTATCATTTCATGCACTTCTTTTTAAATTTGAACTTTCCTGGGCGTTGATATTGTCAATATGCTATTTAGCATATTTTAAACTTCTATTATTTTAATGGTTATCGTTATTTTTAAATTTCATCATTTCACGCTATCAAATTTTTCTTCTTTTCTATTTTTTTCTTTTTATTTTTTTATTGCGCAATAGATTTATATTTATAACCTCTTAGTTTATATTAAAAATTATTTTTTTGTTTAACTACCCACTATCATGTATACTTTTACTTCTATTCTTTTAAAAATCCACTATGAAATTATAATTTATTGGTATATTTTATTTAGATAAATATCAATTTTATAAACAAAATTTAAAATCAACTCTTATACATAATAATTTCAACGATTATTTTTCAAAGATTTGGACAATGCTTCTTATTGTAAATTGAATGAGGTTTTTTGTTTAAAAAACCTTTTTTTAGGGTTTAACATAAGATAAAAATAATTGATTTAGCAAATCTGTCTTGATCTTTTTCTTGCGTTTCAACTTTGGAAAACTTTTTAACCAAAAAGACTGCCAGGCTTAGTCAATCAGGTAGCATAAGTTTTTAATAAAACAAAAAATTCTACCTCTAAAAAATTAAAGCAAAAGGGATAATAATATCAGAAACCTCCCTTCGGCTTTCTTTTAATATCACTTATTACTCCTAAAATTTTAAAAATACCATTTACCTGCTAAGACAAAATCTTGAAAAATCCTGAACTACACTTTTGCACTTTTTGTTAACCAAAAAGTGTTAACCAAAAATATTCTTAAATGATTTTATATGCTCCATTTTTATTGAGTTGCTTATCTATCAAAAGTTTCCTCTTCAGGAACCTAAATTCTCTAACTTTCCAATAATGCAGGCTGATGCCTCATTAAAAAGGGAAACCCCAATAAATATATGCAATGGGTTTAGTTGGCTCGGCAATAGTAGTTTTATACCAATATTCTTCCAGCTTATTATTTTTTTGCCAATAATCTGAGCAATTCGCCCATATTTTAGGGGATATCCATTTTACATCTCAACTTGTTACATCTGACCAGCTTGCTTTTATAATTGTCTTGCCATTCAAAGTTAAGTAGAAGGGATAATACCGTAAACCTCCTTTGAGATTTCTCTTAATATCACTTATCTTCCTTATTTTTGTTGTTTGAGTAACAAAATTAATAAAAATTCCAAACAACCCCTTTGCTCATTTTGCTAAATAAAAATGTTCCTAAGCCACTTGTTTACTCCAGAAAAAAAAAAATCACCACCTAAAAGCCAATCTCCAGTTATAGCTATACCATCACATCACACAGTTATACTATATTTGTAAATAAATATATTAGCAGCCATTATATACTTAAAAATGATTTCTTATGAGCCTTATTTTTTTTTTTCCAACCTTTTCTCAATCAATAATATAATTTTCTTGCAGGGCCCATGATTTGGATAAGTACTTTATGGAAAGTGTTTCGTGAATTGAATGTGTTGAAGGCGATGTTCAAAATGAAACACCTGAAGAACCCCCTTTGTTTTCCCTTTGTGAATGAGAAATTTGTGAAGCAACCAAAGATAAGTACAATAATGACTTTTTCTTTGTTTTGGTTTCTCTCTTAGTTACTGTGTCTGATGGATGTATTGTCTCTTAACCATCGCGTATGAATTCTGAAGATGATGGAGAAAAATGAGCATATAAAGCAGAAGACATGAATACAAAAAGTCTTTTCATGAATACAAAGGGCATCAGAACAGAACTTTCCTTCTTTTAATGTGAAGTGGGAAAAATTAAGACAAGCACCTCGAATTCGCAATTTTCATCATGTCTTGGCTAGATTACAAAGGCAATTTTTTTTTTTTTTTTTTTTAACTTCTGCAGATGCTGCTTGGGCAACATTTTACTTCAACCTCGCTGCCAGTCACTTGTTTAAAAAAAATATAGTAATTGTTTGCTGCCGGCTTACAGCAATAGTTTTGTATCGACTCCTGTCAGAACAACATTCATCCAAAATTTTATTTTTTCAGCTATATTCTAAGTAATTAGTCTTAGGGATAAGGGAGCACGGCGGATTGAATTAGTAGCACAAAAGATATTAATAATTTCTTGTATACCAAACATAAAGGTGCAAATGAATTGAATCGAGTTGAATTTTAACCTAATCGAATTGATCCTCAAGTTAACTTTGCAAAACTTGAACTTGAGCTCGAACTCGACGAGTTCAAAATATCAAGTTTGAGTTCAAGTTCGAGCTGGAGCTTAAAAATATATATTAAATTTTTAAAAATAAATAAAATAGTATTTTTTAACAAATAATAAAATATTAGGATTATTTATATAATTTTACTATTAAAATAGAAATAAAAAATATATATAATCAAACTCGTGAGCCGCTCGCGAGCTAACAAGTTTGATATTTTTTAACTCGAGTTCAATTTACTTAGCTCGAGTTGAACTTGAGTTCGATATTGACTGAACTTGACTCGAGTTTTGCGAGCGATTCGATTCGTTTGCAACTCTAACCAAACCGATCAAGGTGTATCATTGCTTACAAATATTTAACCGGCCATTTCCTGCCAACCTATTCATTTAAGAAGCTATAATGAAATTTGACAGAAAAAAAAAAGGCTATGATGAAATGGGTTTTTTTATTTTTTATTTTTGGGCGGTTTGTTTTTTCTATTTGGTTTCCTAAAGGTACAAATAAGCACATCAAAAAATGGGAAAACTGCACAAATGACCCTCATATTTGAGTTTTGTAGTCTTTTAATTACTCACTTTTAGAATGATTCATTTTGATCCCTTGCATAAGAGATTTCACACTTTTTCAATCCACACTGTTACTATGGTATTTTTTGACCCTTCACATATCCAAAATGTCCTATTTTTGTCCCAATTCTCATTTTTAGCTACATTTTTACTTTTGATCCTAACTTTGACAAAGGTTTTCATCAATGTGGTAATGTGGTATACAAGCCTTCAGTGACCTTGTTTACAGATCTGCCCGGCAGAGGACCTATCTTTCTCGTGACAACTGAATAGCTTCTTGATCTTGTGTAGATTCATCAGCCCAGAGAAACTGGTGGGACATGAGAACGAGTTCCTGATTTTCTTACTTCTTCAAGCAGCTCCCACTCTGCCCATCTTGCAAATGATCCCACTGCCTGCAGTTTACAACTTCTGCCATTTTTGGACGGTCTTCTGGTGTTGAGTTTCGGTGCAAAGCACTGCAACCTGAAGAATTGTCTCGAGGAACACATATTTCCTAAACAGTAGCAAGGAGAGTTACTCAGCTTTGCTACTGAGACCATCCGGAGTAGGAATAGACACATGGAGCGTTCCTGAACAGTATTCTGATCTTACATTTCATCTATATGCCTACTTGAGTTTTTCTAATCTCTTTAACACCTGACAAAGCTTTGAGCAATTTAAATGATAGAAAAATACCTTAGAGCCAGAGACATAAACCCTCAGAATTGCTTTGCGCTTAGCTTAATAAGTTTCTGCCAAAAAAAAAAAAAACAATTTTCGATGGACATTTTTGGTGCTAAACTAGAGTGTTATGTGTAGTAGTCCTTTCCAAATAACCAACAGTGTAGAAATATTTATAGTTTTTGTCAATTACTAATACAAGAATTTACAAAGAACTACAGCAGTGAGAAACATGATTCATTAGAGTGCTAGGCTAACGCTCTCCTTTACAATGAACTACTGCACTGTTGAACATGATTTGTAAGATTGCTACGCTAAACATTTGAACCACTCTCCAGTTAATGCAGGAGGCAGAATCAAATGCATCCAGGGTGCAAACCAGAGGTGCTGAATTGTTTGAACACGATGTCTATTCCCCAGAAGTAGAAGATCAAGGTCAAAATGATTTCTGAACTCACAGTTGCCAGAGAAACAAACTTTTTAATGGCATAGGATATTTGGAGCCAGAGCTACAGCCAAAAAGGACATGAATCCCAAGGATGTATAAGGTGATACTTTAGGAGAACTAAAACCCGAAAGGAAGAAAGTTAGCAGCAATGGGATTGAGTAAAGCAAAAGTAGGAAATCCAATCCTAAAAGTTTTGAAGCAACTCAGATCCCACATTAGAGCTCTCAGTTTAGAATCTAATAGCTCACTGCACATGGTAATTTTTCAAGAAAACCCTATCAAGAAGAAAATTACACAGTTAGGAAGGAGGTGGCGGTGAATTTGGTGGTAGTATTGAAGGTAAATCATAGGATGGTTCAATTTCTTCAAAAAGGCAATTCAAACCCAGGTGACCCAATTTAGATGAACATGCTTCAAGATCCAATCAAATTCAAATCCAATTGAGGAAAAGGTTCTGGCATCTCAATTCAATCGATGGAAGGTTGAACCTCTTTTGAATTTAAGGTTGAATTTGTAATGGATGTTAAACCAAAGTTCATCTAAATTGGCATTTCATTATAAAGCAACTCAGTGCGTGCCATGGATGCTCACTCTTATATTATCTACTTGAATATAGAAATGTAAGTTGGCAAAACTTTGGGTGCAAGACAACCAACTCAAACACCAAGAAAAACTTTCAATTAAATTAAAATTTGAACTAGAGACAGCCGACTTCAGAAAAAATGACTTCCTAAATGACTTAGCAGAAACGAAGCCTGCCAAAGAAAAAGCTTCAAAGGGCTAATATCCAACGTGACATAAATTTAAAGATTAGTTTGCAATCACTTTAGACTACAAATAACACTTTGACACAAGAACTATAATGTAAAGCTTTAACCAAAAATGCTAAATATACAAATGAATTTAGCTTGGTTAAAATATTTTTGACCATTTCATTATGCACAATTAAGAATTTTAGAGGAACATAATAATGCTGCAATACTGAGTTACAGTCATATTGCACGATGATTCTGCCTAAATTTTGAAAAGTGAATGAGATACTCACATGCTCTAGCAGTAGATCATCCTCCTTCAAGCCAAAAGAAATCTATTGCACACTGACCAGTTGCAAGTTCCAGAAGATGTTATACCATAGCCAAATGCACTGTCTTCTCTAAAGAGTTTCCAGTCAACAAATATTCAGCGGCAATGTGTCCCATGGTTCCCCGGACTTGATTTGTGATGTGTGTTAGTTTGTAATCACCAGCTTTACAAGCCCAAAATCTCCAAGAACAGAGTCAAAGTCACCATCCAGGGCGATAGTTGCAGCCCTCAATCTCAGTTTATGATTTTCAAATTGCAATGCTCATATAGGTATTCTAGGCTCTGTGCAGTACCAAAAGCTGTTCTTTTCCAATTAGTCCAGTCTAGGCCTTTCTCTCCAGGTTTTCCAGGTTTGAGGTCTGTAAAAGGCAGAAATAGATATTTAACAATAGCTGAATGGGGTTCATATGACTGCAGATCATGCCTAATAGTAACCAGAAAAACAACTAACTCGCTTTTGCGCCTCTGTGACCATCAATATTCAGCCAAACAACTTTTACGACTAACAGATGCTGGATATTAATAATAGAGATGTTTCATTCAATGTTTCGATTAAGCAGAACTGTGATAAACAAGGAACAGACATGTCAATGTCCTGGAAACGTAATCTACATTTAACTAATGGACGCATACTTATGTCCAGAAATGCAGGTTCTTTCACATAAAGCCATTATTGTTTTAGAAAGTCAAGAAGATGATTTAACAGTATCAACCATTAATAGTATTAATCTAGCAGGGCAATAGCAGCATCATTCAGTCACCCCAATAAGAAAGTTCCGAAAAATCTCAAGTATCATGTCATGGACCTCACAAAATTTGACCACTATAGCTCAACCAAAACACTAAATGTAGAGAGAGATAAGTGAGAACAGGAAAGTGCAAACCTAGATAATGTTAGTTCCAGCACAATTAAAGTTTAAGGGCCAAAACATCAGGACTACCGAGTTGTAACTAATGTGAAGGTCCCATTCATCCCCCAATCATGGACATCTTGCTATCAGGATCAATCTTCAGCATCAACATAAGTAGAGAAGGATTGTTCTGTCTTCCTGCAGATGAATCAAGTAAAACGGAAAAAGTAGATGAATCCAGCAAGAATTCTCTCCGAACCATTTCTTCATAATACACCACTGCATCATCATAGTGACCTCCCCTCAAAAGTCCTTGCAAAATAACATTGAACATGACACTGTGCCAGCAACCATTCTCTTCCATTTTCTCGAAAAGCTCTTTAGCTTCTGCAAGCAGGCTTTCTGAAAGAAGGCCAGCAATCATTGGGGTGTATGTTTTCTCATCAAGGTCCAATCCTTTATGGCAGAGACTGTTGAGAGATCACCAAGGAATGCGGCTTCTCTGCCAGATTCATGATCTCTGAGGTGTTTCACTAAAAATCACCACGAGAGTTCTCCTAAGGCTCAGTTGCAACAAAGATGAAAAGCGATAACAGGATCAAATGCAAACCTAATTAATGTTTTTTCCAACAAATTAAAGTTTAGGGGCCAAAACACTGCAGGACCAACATCTTACAACTAATGTGAAGGTCCTCTTTGTCCCCCATCCATGAACTTCTTGCTATTGGGATCAATCTTCAGCATCAACATTAGCACAGAAGGATTGTTCTGATTCTCAGCAGATAAATCAAGTAAAATGGAAAATGTAGATGCATCCAGCAAGAATCCTCTATGAACCATTTCTTCATGATAGACCATCGCATCATCATAATGACCTCCCTTAAGGAGTCCTTGCAGAATGACATTGTATGTAACACTATTTGCCAAGCTACCCTTCTCTTCCATTTTTTCAACGAGCTCTTTACCTTCGATGAGCAGACCTTCTGAAAGCAGGCCAGCAATCATGGTGTTGTACGTTATGACATCAGGGTCCAATCCTTTAAGGGAGAGATTTTTGAAAAGATCTCGGGCACTATCGAGCCTCCTGCATTTGCACAACCCATCAAGCATGATATTGTACATTCTAATGTGAAGATCTGTTCCATCGGCTTCGGTTGCATGGAATAACTGCAATGCTTCGTCGACATGTCCAGTCTTGCATAACCCATCCAACATCACGCAGTAAGTGTGAAAATTAGGCTTTATGCCAGAAGCTTGCATCTCATCAAAAACTTCTCTTGCACTAGGATACATTCCTGCGCTAAATAACCCCTGCAATACAGTGGTATAAACAACAATATCACATGATAAACCTTTATGCCGAATCTCTTGAAAGAGATTCATGGCTGCTTCCACTTTCTTGTTCTTGTTATAGGCATTTATTAAAACAGCATAGCTATGAGCATCTGGAGTAAGGCCGCTAGCAACCATAGTATCGAATACTCTCCTTGCTTCATCTATTCGGCGTTGTAAACAATATCCATCCATTAAGGAATTGTATGTGACCACGTTGGGATTCTGACCTTGCTGAATCATGATGCCGACTACCTCTTCAGCATCTTTTGCATGTCCTTCCTTGCACAATGCATCCACCACTATATTAAAAGTAATAACATCTGGAACAATTTTGTAATCCTTCATGTCAGAGAAGAGCCTTTTAACCTCCTTCCATTTACTTAAATTGCAGAAACCTTGAATCAAACAATTGTAAATGACAACATCTGGGGGAATGCCCTTTTCAAACATCTCCTGTAAGAGGGCAAGAGCTTCATCAACCATTTTATCCTTGCACAAGCTGTCAATGATTGCACCATACACATAAACGTTGGGCTTACATCTTCTTCTTTTTTCCATGAGTCTTAGGAATTCAATGGCCATTTGAGTGTTGCCCGCCTTGCAGAGCCCATCTATCACAACCAGAAAGATAACTTCATCGGGCTCGCAAAGTTTTTCGAATATTATCTTTTTAAATAATTCTTGTGCCTGGGGAATCTTACATTCTCGAAAGAGTCCTCTGAGTAGAGTACTAAAGGTGACTGCATCAGGGACAAAACCACGTTTGAAGAAGCCAGCCAATGTAGAAAAAGCTAAATCCACTCGGCCCACCAAGCAGCAACAATTAATCACAAGAGTGAGGGTGTAATCATCAATAGGAATGCCCTTGGCAGACATATCTCTAAAAAGGGAAATAACTGAAGAATAATGATTCTTCATCTTAACAATACAAGTCAGCAGTTGATTGAATCGTATAACAGAAGGCAGAGGCCTCATCCGGACCATCCGCTCGAACAAGCTCAATGCATCATCAAGACTGTTGACATTATTAAGATCATTCCTTAATTCAGGTTGAAATTTCAGAGCTTTTCCAGAAGAACTCTTAACCTTACCACTAATAGCAGAATAAAAAGCCAAATGGGATTTATGGTTTGGGAATGCAGAGAGAAATGATGCAATAGTACAACCTGCAGGAGCAAGAGTACCTGATGAAGCCCCTGCTCCCTGAGACCGAGCAATGGAAACAATCACCGCAGAAGAAGCTCTTCTCTTCATCGTCATCATCTTCTACCCCTTCAGCTGATGAGGATTTTAAATTGTTCTGAAATCTGAAATTTGGGTGAATTAATTACCGGGATTTGAGGCAAATTCTGAAGCCCTGATGTTTCTGGTTTTCAGGTTGATTTTGTCTGGTACGATGTCGTATCTGATCTCATGTTGGCTGAACCCCCTCCCTTTTTTTTTTTTCCCCCCCTTTTAACGGCTCGTTTGAAAGGAGGTAGGTAGAATTAATTATAAATTATCCGAGCCAAAAGTTGGCCTGTGACATTAAAATATCGGAAAAGAAAAAAAAAACTTTCTGTACTTCAGTATAATTTCGATTCTTCAAATTACACTTTAGTCATGTATAGATATAAAATTAATTTTAAAACAATATGACAGTGAATTAACCTTTTATATTTCGGGATGATTTGGATTCGTCTGATGCACTTAATTATCTATAGATATAAAATTGATTCTAGTACATCAATTTAGGTGATACAGACATTAGTCAAGTAACTATGATGTCGCGATTGAACTCTCAATTTCTCTTCTTTCCTCCTCCTGCCTTGTAATGCTATGAAAAAAATACCACACACTGTTTCTTCTCGAACATTATGAATAAAACAAAGTTTATGTGGTAAAATAAATCTATTATTTTTGTACAAACTGGTTCCATTTCTGTGAAAGCAAAAGCAAATTTGGGAGCATTATTTATGCACGTTCGAGTGAATACCAAATGTTAATGGTTTTGATTTGGGAGCTATAGAAGCATCATTCATCCACTTGGATCTCAAGCATACCACTTTGGAGTTCCAGGAATTTGACTCCTATAAGGCTCAGTTGCAACAATTCTCACTCAAAAACAGCAAGATGAACATCAAATTTACATCTTCCTTCCTGAGAAGTTCTGTACATCTAATATCACCATGCCGACCTGCACGAGAATGAAAGGTAATAGGAATTTTGCGAGCATAAGCATGTTTAAGGCGGGACAATATGATCCAGTGGTCACAAGGGATTTTAAAATATAGTTGGACATAAAGGTTTACCTTCAACGGAAGGAATATGAATACTTTTCTGAAGACAAAAAAGTTGCGAAGAGTGAGAATGTCCTCTTAGTCCTTCAGCCACTGGTTTCTTCACTCTAGTTGTTCCCTAGTTCAGTTCCAATGTCTTCTTAGTCCTCCATCCACAAGTTTCTTCACTCTAGTTGTTCCCTAGTTCAGTTCCATGCTTGGAAAAATGTGCTTCAAGCCTTCACTTCAGCAGATGAATATTCAATTCTATTGCCGGTTGGATTTTTTAATACAAACAGTAAGGCATGCCCTACAAGCGCAAAAACAATGTTAAGCACAGAACCAAATGGATCAAAGGGCGAGAACAAGAAAGAGGTAGTCAGAATCTAACAAGTGCGCATCTGATTCAGGCACCTCACTTGATTATCATACAGAACATTCTGTTTCTTCTCTGAAATTAAAAATCTGGGCAAATTAAATTATGTAAAATTTAACTATATCATGGTTATTTCCTAGCTAGTTTATTAAACAATCGCGTGCCAAGGTACAAAGTTCTTTAAGACATTTTTTAAGTGACAGCAGTACAAGAGGAAGTAAGAATCAAGCAATACAGTGGACGATAAATAACAGACGTGGATATCCTGGACAAGTAATCATTCTCCAACTAAGGTTTAGGATGTGCACTCATGTGCAGATATGCATGTTCAACACATCAACCATCAAAAGTTCTAGAGACTCAAGAAGATGATTTAAGAGGACCAACCATTAGTAGTATTCTTATTCCACAACTACAGCAGCATCATTCATCCACTCAAAAAGAAAGAGTTCCAACAAATCTCGATTACAGACTTCACAAAATATGACCAAGAGACTCCTCTAAGGTCCAGATACAACACTTCTCAAATACCAAAAAGATGATGAGTGACAACAAGATCAAAGGCAAACTTACATAATGTTGATTCCAACAGAAAACAGTTTAGGAGCCAAAAAAAAGGAGGACCAACAAGTTGCAACTAATCTGAAGGTCCTTTTCTATCCTTCATTCTTTAGTTTCTCAATCTCAGGATCAATATTAAGCATCAATTAATTTGCAAAAATATTAATTCATGGAAACAGATATGCAAGGACAGAATCCAACCATGAGCAACTTATTGACTGATTTAAAAATATTTATTTGCCTGACACAGCAAGGAGTCACACAGCATCAACTGAGGCTATCTACATCAGGAATCGGTACAAGGAGAGTCCCTCAACAAACTTTTTTACCCAAGCACTTTCATCAGTTTTTCTAATTTTAGGATTCTGATCTCTTTCTAGCACATCTTATAATTCACAATAGGTTTTAGCTAGTCATCTATCTAATAGCTGACAAATTGACCAAAATGCCGACAAAACTTCCTATCAATTCAAATGAGAGATTAAATGACCTTAAGACGTAATCATTAGAGTTGCTTTATGCTTGTGTGAATTTTAACGAGTTGCTGTGGAAAAAAATTCTTCTTTGACTTTTTTCGAGCTAACCTGGCATAATAATTGCAGGCCACAAATCATATACCAACACTTAGCATTTGTCAATTTAACAAGAACTTAGAAAGTAGTGCTGCAGTACCAAAAGCAATTCATAAGAGTGCGCTATCCTAAACATTCAATGATTCTCCTGTTATTTATAGGAGGCAAAACCAGAACACATCCAGGGTGTACTGACCAACAGGTAGAGCGACAAGGTTTTTTGGTTAGGTGGCCAGGGGTGCCAATTTTCTTGTAGAAGATGTTTATTCCTCAAAAAGTAGAAGATAAAACCAAAATGATCCCAGAACTCAAAATTGGCAAAGAAATAAACTACTAAATGGTGTAATACTTCATACACTCTAGAGCTACAGCCACGAATGATGTGAATCCCAAAGGTTGTGTAAGGTGATCCTTTTGCAGAACTAAATGCTGAAAGGAAGAAACTACTGCATCAAATATACACAAGGTGGCATACAGCAAAAATAAAAAATCGAGTTGCACTTTTTGAGAAAACCCAATCAAGCGAAAACTTAGGCAATTGCGGAGGAGGTGGTGTGATATTGGTGGTGCTACTGAAAATAAATCACAGGATGGCTCAAGTTCTTCGATAAGGCATTGGACATCCATTCCAGCCTCGACTCAGATGAACTTGGTTCAACATCCAACCAAATTCAAATTTAATTCCCAAATGGTTTGGTCTAGCATCACAACCCAATCGATGGCAGGATAAAGCTCTTTTAAATTAAAGTTGGCATTGGATGGGATGTTAAACGAAAGTTCATCTAGATCGGGGTTTCCTTGAAATGCAACCCAGTTCTTGCCCACAGAGGTTCTCTCTTGTATACTAGCATAAATTTAATGACAGCTTACCTCCATGCATGTGAAGACACTATGGAAGAATAATACTTTCTGAGCTAAACTTAAGCTGAATTTGGAATAATACTAACTCAGAAAGCATTTCTTAAACTCATTCTACAAACATTTCTACAAAGCCTCATTTAAATCTCCACCACAGGACAAAAGTTAAGTTGTCAACATGAGCAAGAAGAATTATTCTTCTTAACGGCATCCAAAAACATGCTACTGTCATTCTCTTTGCAACACATGACCCCATTGCAAATTATTGCATGCAGTATCAAAGCCATACAAATAAAGATAAAGAAGAAGTCTTGAGAAGAAGTCGTACAAATTATTGAAGTTTTCCATGAAAAGATAAAGAAGAAGTCTTGAGAAGAAGTCGTACAAATCCAATTAACTGCACCAACTTTCTGTGAACTGATACACCTAACAATTGAACTTCCCTAAGGAATGCAGCTTCACCACCAGACCGATGCTCTCTGAGGTATTTCACAAAATATCACCAAGAGGCCTCCTCTAAACAAAGATGATAAGTGACAAAAGGATCAAATGTGAACCTTATTAACATTTCTACCAGTAAATTAAACATCAGGGGCCAAAAAACTGCACGACCAACATGTTACAACTAATGTGAAGGGCCTCTTTGTCCCCCATCCATGAACTTCTTGCTATCGGGATCAATCTTCAGCATCAACAATAGCACAGAAGGATTGTTCTGATTCGCAGCAGATAAATCAAGTAAAATGGAAAACGTAGATGCATCCAGCAAGAATCCTCTATGAACCATTTCTTCATGATAGACCATCACATCATCATAATGACCTCCCTTAAGGAGTCCTTGCAGAATGACATTGTATGTAACACTATTTGCCAAGCAACCCTTCTCTTCCATTTTTAAAATGAGCTCTTTACCCTCGATGAGCAGACCTTCTGAAAGCAGGCCAGCAATCATGGTGTTGTATGTTATGACATTAGGGTCCAATCCTTTAAGGGAGAGATTGTTGAAAAGATCTCGAGCACTATCGAGCCTCTTGCTTTTGCACAACCCATCAAGGATGATATTGTACATTTCTATGTGTAGATTTGTTCCATCAGTTTCCATTGCATGGAATAACTGCAATGCTTCATCGATATATCCAGTCTTGCATAACCCATCCAACATCACGCAGTAAGTGTGAAAATTAGGCTTCATGCCAGAAGCTTGCATCTCGTTGAAAATTTCTCGTGCACTAAGATACCTTCCTGAACTAAATAACCCCTGCAACACAGTGCTATAAATAACAATGTCAGGTGTTAAACCTTTACGTGGAATCTCTCAAAAGAGCTTCATGGCTGCTTCCAATTTCTTGGTCTTGTAATAGGCATTTATTAGAATACCATAGCAATGGAGATCGGGTGTAAGGCCGCTAGCAACCATGGTATTGAAGACTCTCCTTGCATCATCTATTCGCCTCTGTAAACAGTACCCATCCATTAAGGAACTGTATGTGACCAGGTCGGGATTTCGACCTTGCTGGATCATGATCCGGACTACCTCTTCAGCATCTTCTATATGCCCTTCCTTACATAGTGCATCCACCACTATATTAAAAGTAATAACATTTGGAACAATTTTATAAACCTTCATCTCAGAAAAGAGCTTGTCAACGTCCTTCCATCTGCTTAAGTTGCACAGACCTTGAATCAAACTACTGTAAGTGACAACATTCGGGGGAATGTCCTTTTCAATCATCTCCAGTAACAGGGCAAGAGCTTCATCAACCATTTTATCCTTGCACAAGCTATCCATG